CCCCCAGGGATACGCACAGTTGGGCTCCAGGCTGGCGCCAGCACTATCATTTCGGCCCGGGGCCCCTCATGCCTGTGGCCGGATCTTGGAAGGGACAGAAGAGCGAGGCTCGGACCCCCGCACCCCAACCCCTTCCTTGCCCGCCCCTCCGCCCCTCCCTCGGTCCTTTGATGTGGCTAAGTTTCCGCCTCCTACTCTAAAGAGCTTCCTGCGAGAAGCACGGTTATGGTGGAAACTCCTCATCTCCCCTTCTAAGAACCCCGACGTCCGGTGCCCGCAACCCTCCCCGGGCCAGGGACCCAGGAACCCGACCCCCACCCCTCTCCGCTCAGCCCCAAGAGGGCGATCCCGGCCCCGCCCTTCGGGGACCAGGATCCCCTTTCTCCTCACGCACCAGGCTTGCCCCAGCTGGGTGTGGAAGGGGCCACGCCGGGTGACAGCCAGAGATCGAAAGTGAAAGGAAATATTGGGGGGGGTATAGTGAGCTGGGGGGGGGAATCGAGTTGGTGCAAGGGGCGCCACCTGGTGGTGACAGTGGCAGCTGACGCTGCAAAGGGCGCCTCAGTGGGACTCCCGCTCAAGCGGGCTGAGGTTGGGTTGCTCCCTGGGGGTGGGACGCAGTGAATGGGGAGCTGCGGTTCCAACATGGATCTGCCTCTAGCTAGAGCTAATCACACAGGGCCAGGGGGAGGTCACCCTGAGCCGTTCATCTTTGCCTTGAAACCTCAGCCCCAGCCCCCAATCCCGGTCACCTTCCACATCGAGGTAAGTGACAGCTCCATCCTTCCAGGTGTTCAGGCCCAAAGGCATGGAGGGGACTTGTGACTCTGTTTGCCTCTCACTGTCCGCTGACAGTCCAGTCCGTCAGCAAAGTTGTTGGCTGACCATCAAAATGTATCCAGAATCCGACCACCTCTCATCACCCCCACTGCCACCACCATCACCCACCTGAATATCACTGTTCCCTACTCACCTTATCAGCTTCCCTGCCTCAGCCCTCACCTGCCACAGCCTGTTCTCCATATGCAGCCAGAGGGAGCCTGTGAAGACCTAAGTGCCCTCACGTCCCTCCTCTGCTCCAACGCCACCGCCCACCCCCGTACCTGCCACAAAAGTCCAAGTCCTCACTGTGGCCTAGACAGATCTGCAGGATCTGGCCCTGTCCCCTCTCTCCTCTCTCCTCCCTCCTCACTCAAATCCAGCCAAGCTGGCCTAAGGCAGGCATGCTCCTGGCTCAGGGCCTTTGCACTGGCTGTTCTCTCAGCCTGGAATGCCCTTCCCCCAGATACCCACATGGCTCAACCTGATCCCATTCAGGTCTTTGCTCAACTACACAAGGCAAAGCCTTCCCCAACCACCCTTCTTCAAGCTGCACCCCCCTCCCAGCACTCCCACTCATCCCTGCTTTGCTCTCTCCCTTGTCACTCATGACCTTCTGACGCACCATTGCCATTTACTTTTCTTCTTTATTGTCAGTTGTCCCTATGAGGACGTCAGCTCTGGGAGGACCACGGTGAGTGTCCGCTTACCCTGCTGGATCTCCAGCACCAAGAACTGTGCCTGGCTCACGGCAAGTGCTCGATCAACATTTGTTAAATGAATGAACAAGTGGATCCTGGCCCCTTTGGCATTGTTGTGGTATATTGGAGAATGCATCTGGTCTCCAGCTGTTTCCTGAGAGACAACCTCTAAGTCGTTGGAACTTCCAGGTAAGTGATAGACTTGTCTTTGTTATTCATGGATGGGGGGCACTCCCCTACCACACCTGAGTTTACACTAATGAGGGACTCAGGATGGGGGCTGGTCAGGACCAGAAAAACCAGTCATGTGATTTGAGGGTTGGGGCTTGTTGGCACAGGAAGAAGTCTAACTTTCCAACCTCTCACCTCCAACCTCGAAGGAAGGGGAGGGAGGCTAGAAATTGAGTTCAATTTCTGTCTCCAACTTCACATGGCTTTCTCCTCTTCTGTCTTCTCTTTTGTCTCTTATAAGGGAACTTGTATTTAGATGTAGGGTCTACTTGGATAACCCAGTATATCTTGAGATCCTTGACTTAATTACATCTGCAAAGACTTTTTCCAAATAAGGTTACATTCATAGGTTCTGGGGTTAGGACATTATCTTTTGGGGGCCACCACTGAAACCACTAGTTCCCTCAAAGCTGTTTCTCACCTATGGAAACAGCATGTGCAAAGGCCACACTGGCTGTTTCCTCTGCCAGGGATGCTCTCCCACCACTTTTCTAACCTAATTAGGTCCTCATTGTCCTTCAAGACCCAATGCAATCACTAATCACCAGGGAAATGCAAATCAGACCCACAACGAGGTATCACCTCACATACCTGTTAGGATGGCTGTTATCAAAAAGACACAGATAAGTGTTGGAGAGGGTGAGGAGGAATGTAAACTGGTACAGCCACTATGGAAAAAGGTGTGAAGATCCCTAACAAAATAACAAATAGAGGGAATTCCCTGGTGGTCCAGTTGTTAGGACTCCACGCTTTCACTGCCTTCACTGCCAAGGGTGTGGGTTCAATCCCTGGTCTGGGAACTAAGAACCCACAAGCCACGCAGCGCAGCCAAGAACAAAAGAACAACAAAAAAAGTGTCCATTGGCTAATGGATAAAGAAGATGTGTGTATATACACACAATGGAATATTATTTGGCCACAGAAAGAAGGAAAACCTGCCATTAACCTGGAGGACATTACGCTAAGTGAAATTAGTCAAAGACTAATACTGTATGGTGTCACATATGGGGAATCTAAAAAAGTCAAATTAATAGACCCAGAGAGTAAAAGGGTGGCTGCCAGCAGCTGGGAGGTCAGGGAAACAGAGAGTTGTTGGTCAGAAAAGACAAACTTTTAGCTATGAGTGAGTTCTGAGGATCTAATGCACGGCATGGTGACTGCATTTAACAAGACTGTATGGTATACTTGGAAGTGGCTGAGTGGATTTTTTTTTAAGTAATTAATTAATTAATTTATTTTTGGCTGTGTTGGGTCTTCGTTGCTGCGTGCGGGCTTTCTCTAGCTGTGGCGAGTAAGAGCTACTCTTCATTGCGGTGCGCGGGCTTCTCACTGCTGTGGCTTCTCTTGTTGTGGAGCACGGGCTCTAGGCACGCGGGCTCAGTAGTTGTGGCACGTGGGCTCGGTAGTTGTGATGCACGGGCTTAGTTGCTCCGCAGCATGTGGGATCTTCCCAGACCAGGGCTGGAACCCGTGTCCCCTACATTCGCAGGCGGAGTCTTAACCACTGCGCCACCAGGGAAGTCCCATGAGAGTGTATCTCCAGTGTTCTCACCACAAATAAAACAGGTAAGTATGTGAGGTGACGGATGTGTTAATTAACTTGATTGTGGTAATCATTTCACAGTGCATATGTATGTTAAATTATCATGTTGCACACCTTAAGAAATAACATTGTAGAAATGAAATATATACAACTTTCAACTGTCAATTATACCCCAATAAGGCTGGGGAAAAAAAAACTCAGTGAAGTGGCATCTGCCTTGGGAAGATTCCTGCCATCTCTCTCGCCTTCACCTCATATACAGACACACACACACACTCAAGTTGGGAAAGGTGTCTTCTGGCCCCCAGAGTGCCCTGCGCTTCTATCGCTGCTATAGTGCTGTACCTGTCACCTTAGGTCACATCAGTGTCTTTCAGCCAGAGCTGAGCCTGCCTCTCCTCTGCTCACAGATCCTCTATGGCTCCCTAGTGCCCTTGGGACAAATTCCCAACCCCTGCTGACACCTTAATTTTAGCTCAGTGAGACCCATTTCAGACTTCTGACCTCCAGAGTTGTAAGATAATATGTTTGCATTGTTTTGTTTAAGCCACTAACTTTGTGGTCATTGTCACAGCACTGACCAGAAATGAATATACCTCTCATCCACTGCATGAGCTCACAAGGCTAAGTTCTATCTTGTTCATGGCCATCCCCAGCACCTACAACAGTGCCTCACTCACAGCAGGCACTCAACCGATTTTTGTTGACCAACTGGATGGCTGCCTTAACTAGGAGCTCCTGCCCCTAAGCCAGAGATTGGACCAGAAGTGGACATCTACCCCAGTGTGGCCAATCAGATTTCTTCTCCTGTGGATGTGGCACTAAGTGTCCTCTGTGGTCTGGGCTGGGGCTATAGAGACCTCCTATAGCTGGCTTTGGCTGGTTAAAGCAACAGGACTAATAGGAAGGTCACTGAGGCAGCCCATGGAATCTGGGGGGAAGTTATCAAACCCCAGAGGAAGTAGAGCCTTCCAGGGACTTTCCTCCAAGACGTTCCTGTGTCTTTCCTGTCCAAACGTCCAGATACTGGGAGAGATTATCTATTCCGCCCAGCTTTAGTCAAATACTGACAGGAGGTTGTCTGCTCTCATTTGCCCCAGGACAAAATCAACCTCTAATTAACAGCATGTTTTGTGTAACCATCACAGAATCTACCCAGTGAGGTTGGAATTATTAGCCCCAATTTATAGATGAGAAAACTGAGGCTTAAGAATGGTGAAGGGCTTCCCTAGTGGCGCAGTGGTTAAGAATCCGCCTGCCAATGCAGGAGACACAGGTTCAAGCCCTGGTCCAGGAAGATCCCACATGCCGCGGAACACCTGGGCCCGTGCGCCACAACTACTGAGCCTGCGCTCTGGGTCCCACGAGCCACAACTACTGAAGCCCATGCACCTAGAGCCCGTGCTCCGCAACAAGAGAAGCCACTGCAGTGGGAAGCCCACGCGCCGCAACGAAGGGTAACCCTGCTCGCTGCAACTAGAGAAAGCCCATGCGCAGCAACAAAGACCCAACACAGCCAAAAATAAAATAAATAAATTAAAAAAAAAAAAAAAGAGTGGTGAAGAAGCTTTCCTAAAGTCACATGGCTAGAAGGATCTGGAATGAAGCAGAAAGGCAGACACAAGACCCAAGAGATCACGTGACCCACTGAGACGGGACCTGAACACAGCTCCTGCTTGCATTCGGGTTCTCAGGACCTGGGGTTCCCGGCTGTGTATCTTGCCCTATTTTCCATATCTCTGTAGCTTTCCAGAAAATGTCCTTTTATCCTAAGCTAGTGTGTGTGGGTTCCTTGCATCAAAAAGAATTCTCAAACAGTGGTATGCTGGGGTGGCTCGTGGGAACCGTTAAAAATTCAGCAATTGTCAGCTGGTTCTTCAATCATCTGCAGCTTGAAACTGACACGGTAGGAGCACCATGGAACTGGCTAAAGTTACTTACCATGGATTTTATTTTATTCCAGAGAGCTAGTGTATTTTATTTTCACCAGCACACCACAGATCCTGAGGCAATGCAGAGGCAGAGAAAACCAGGGAGCAGGAGCCATTGGATAGAAAAGACCAGAAGAGACAAGAGTCGCTGCGGCCCTGTCCAAAGGTTCTTAGAGTCCCTTGTATCTGTTTCACAGACACTGTGTTGTCC